CTCTCACTCACACATTTACTGAAACAGGTTTTGTGCAAATTGCATCTTTTAACCGTTTGAACTAAAAACTATTGACAATGAGCATTTATTGCTTAAAATGCTAAACACACAAAGGACCAACTATTACTATTTATTTAATACATAAAGTATCTGCTTTTTATAGATGCTTTTTTAATAGTTAAAATTTTATCTTACAATAGGAGAACACACAAAATTCAGCTTTTCTCTTCTTGAAAATTTGAAGTATTTGAGGACAACCATAATCTTTTTTTATGTATTATTTAGTGTTTGCCCTTTTTACTTGTCACTATCATGCTGATGAATCAAACCCCTGCATTAAAACAACATACCACAGTTTACCGATATCTTGGGATATTTTGATTAAAGTGTGTCAGACATTTTGTTAAGATCTAAGGAAATTGTGTCATTAAAAAATGGGTAAACTAAAAGGAACAAGACCCATCATAGCGCTTGCAGTAGCAGTAAAAAAAAGACTGATGCCATGTAGCAGAGAGCAGTGCTCTGAATACTGACTGTGTCATTTTTGTCCTCCAACCAGGCTAGCAGCAGGACGGGGGACAGCTAAGGCTAAGGCTGACCCACAGTCAGTTTTTGTTGCAGTTCGTTTTAATGGCCTGGGTTGTGACAAACACTGCACATTGTGTTTCCAAAACCATTTCAAGGTGAAACAAAATGGGAATAAAAGGAGTAAAAAAAAGGGAGATCATACTCCGTCTGACACATTGTTTGTCCTCATCATGTGGATGGTTTGTACCTCACAGCAACAGAACGTGGGACACCTGTCCTCCCCACAGTCGGTCGGTGAAGACGTGAGCGTGACCGTCAGCTAAGTGTAATAAAGTTTGACAGCGCTAATCAGCCGAGCTCGCTCGTTAGGGAGCCTTGCGCCAGGCTGCCATGACCAGGGTCTCCTCTCTTGGCTTCGTCTTTCATCTCCTCGCAGCAGACGCACAAAGCCCCGCGGACTCCTCATTAGGCAAAGCTTATTGCGTTAATTCAGCCCAACAACAACAACAACAACACACTCAACTGGAGCTGTCCCAAATAATTCCCCTCTCATTTGTGTTTGTCTCAGACAGGAAGCTGAGAGCTTCGACCACTGGGACGGCTCAAAACACTGATGTTTGGCAACATTTGGACTCTTCAGATGTTCGAGACGTTGGAGTCACAGTGATGGCTGCCAGCAGCTAATCCACTGACCTCTGCAAACATCTTACAAACACCACCTCTGACACACACATATCACACATCAGTGAAGACCGACTGAAGATTAGAGTAACCTGCTGCTTCTGACAGTTCACATTGGACGGCGATATAACAACATACATTTGATTGGTTGCGTAACTAATGATGTACTCATGTAGTTTAAATTGGGCTTTAATTACATTTTTTAACCAAACTTTTGACAGATAAGCTTTACTTTTGCACAATTTAGTCACCATGTAGACATATTATTAAAATAAAATCTTGACCATCATGTCTAATCAACAGAGCAGCACATTCAACTAAACTCAGAAGAAACGAAAGGTCTAATTCAGTAAACAGCATTAAAAGAAGAACTTTGAAAATGACTTGACTTGATATCACCCAAATCCTTTCCTGCCAGAGTTTTAAACTGATACTGAGAAATGATGGAGTTGTAATCCTTATGTTCAGATCTTGAAATTTTTTTTAAATGGTCTGTAAGTCTGTAAAACAACTGTCTTAAAGTCATTTTCTTTGTATGCTCTGGTGGCCATATTGAATTGGGTTCACTCCAGCAGATAACACTATGTTTTAGTACTGAAGTTTGTTGTGCTCAAACTACAGTATGTGTTTGTATGACTCTCTGCTACCACCAAACCAAATTATAAGTCAATACTTTCAAAATTTGGCTACATTATAGCCTTTTTTGTGTTTGCTAAGGGCATGGCGGTCATATTGATTTTGGTAGATTTCCAAAGTTAATCACTGGTAGATATACATCTAAAAATGACATTCGAGTCTCATTCAAACAGTGATTCATGAGATATTTTGCTAACATACAGAGAAACACTGTCGCTCGAGGAATATTACAGATTAAACATGCTGAATCTTCAGTTTTTCTTTATTGTTATTCATTTATTTTATTAACCTTCATTTAACCAGGCAAATCCCACTGAGATCTTTTTTTCAAGAGAGGCCTGGGCCTGAAGGTATAGCCTAAACATGCATGTTTGGTTTTAAAGACTATTGGTTAAGTTTTTAAGGAAAAAGATGCATCTGAATCCCAAAAACTGGAAGGAAGACTAATGAATCTAAAGCAAGAACTCCAACAAACTTCCTATCAGAAATACAGAGCTTTTGGAACATTTAAACTTAAAAATAAATAAATAAATTAGTAGCAATGAATAATTATAACAAGTTAAAAATGTAAGAGTCTGTTGTTCTTTCAGCTGCTACCCTCTCCAGGGGTCACCATACGAACAAACTTGCATGAATGATTTGGCCGAGGTTTTACACCAGATGTACTTCCTGATGCAACCTGGCTTCAAACCTGTAGCCTCAGAGGATTATAAGACCACCGATCCAGGGCAGCCCCAAGAGTTGGTTCTGTTCTAACCATATAACCAAAAAGTGATGAGCTAAAAAAACAACAACAACAACTTGAGAATGGGTATAAAATGATGCAGCGTTTACAGACAACAAGCAACAATAAGCCTGTCTATTGTCCTCAGAGTGTTAGGAAGACTTCAGCACCACAAACAGCACTGTCTGTTCAGCAGACAAGGTGTTACAGAAACTCTGCTGCGACAGGAAACTGTCAGATATTTGCTCTTTTTGTTCGAGATGCTGCTTTGTCTTTCTGTCCTTGGCATATCTTTAACTATTAAATAAATGACAATGCATGTATATGAACATGACAGATATCATAAATGCCATAATCTGTATTTTTCGATGTTTTGATTTGTGTTTATTTTCGCACATTTTTCTTATGAAGTTTAGCGTTTTCATGCTGTTCATTTTGCGGCCTTATGTTTATGCCACTAATTTCCCACAGTTACTTTCTGCTCCTGGGTCCGGCCACGCCCACCTCCACCTGTCTACTCCTCCCTGCAGTCTCCAGCTGCTCAGCATTCACTCCTCAGTGAAGCATTGTGTTTGTTCATGCACCACGTCTGGTTCGCTCTGCACTTCCTCAAATCTGCTTGTGCCTCCCTGTATCTGATCTTCGGATTTTGTGAGTTTCTGCAGCCACGACAGCCTTTGTTTTTAGTTCAAATAGAATTCAGTTTATTTTTAATTTAAGCTCCTCGTGTCCATCTGCGTTTCTTGGGCCCAACTTATACAATCTTGACAACAGATACTGATCTCATTCACTTGTATAATTTATTTGATTATAGAGGATTTACAACAGATTTAAAATAGGGATGCAACGATATAAAAATTTCAGCAGATATCGATATCCGATATAATTATTGCTGTTATGGCCGATAACCGATATTTACCAATATTACACAAACACACAAATTATATTACACATATACACAAAAACACACTTTGGGTCTTTTTTTGATACTGTAACTAAATGACCAGACCTCTGACATTGTTCCCTACGTCAGTTATTCCTGGTTACACAGCATCAATATCACTATCATGATCGAACAGATGCTGTTCAACCAACCGTCTCCCCTCCCAAAACAGAAACACAAAGATTAAAAGTGGGAAATCAATATCGGATGTTAATATCGGTCCAGTTTTACAAATTGGATCGATACCAATATTCTATAAAATGACCAGTATCAGCCGATACCGATATCAATATTGATATATCGTGCATCCCTACTTTATAATAGACCTCTACAAAACTTATATAAACCAAAAAAAAAAATTAATTATTTGTCATATTTGCATAGTCTTTCTTTCTTTCTTTCTTTCTTTCTTTCTTTCTTTCTTTCTTTCTTTCTTTCTTTCTTTCTTTCTTTCTTTCTTGCCTAAAACAAACAGCAAAGACAACCTTATGGACTTCAGGGATTAAAGCCTAGTATAAAAAAACTCACAAAAAAATTAGAACACAGGTTTGAAGAGAAAAAAGGGTGAAACATTTCCCTGGTTAAATCTGACAGCACGCCCCGAGGCACCCAGCCCTTACCTGACGCCGCCTGCATCCAGCCGCAGATCTTGTAGACGGTGGAGGTGCTGAGGAGGAAGAAGAGGCTGAAGCAGCCGATGCAGGTGACCACCAGCATCATGGACATTCCGATGAAGAAGGAGGCGGCCTTGAAGGCGCCGGAGGGGATGGCGGAGAACTCGGTGAAGCTGCCCTGGCAGACCAGGTCTCTGGAGTGTCCGTCCCCGACGCAGTAGTGGAAGAGGCCGAAGTAGCCGGCCTGCGGGGTGTCCACGCCGTCCCCGATCCAATAGGGCTGCGAGAAGATGGTCACGTTCACCATGCCGAAGAGGATGGTGAAGATGGCCCACAGCAGTCCGATGACGCGGGAGTTGCGGACGTAGTTGGTCTGGTACAGCTTGGCGGCTTCCGCGGACGGCAACATGGATGCGGCGGATCCAGGGATCATGTTAGGCGACGCCGGACGCTGAGCGGAGGATGCTGCGGGGAGGAACCATGCAGCAGCTGTTCTTTCCCTTCTCTTTTCTTTATTGTTCTTATTATTAACACAGAACCAGAAGCAGCTGAGTGCAGACGGACCAGTGTCACCGCATGAAATAAAAAAAATAAAAATAAAAAACATAAAACAAAAGAACTCAAAGGAACAGCCTCCCTCTGACTGGGTCCGTCTGAGCGCCGGAACAGCTCATCATCGCTGCCGCATTTTGGTGCCCTTGGAAAAATTTCCACTCAGAAACAAACCTGAGCATCCTTCATGGTACCCCCCTCCAAAAAATGGGGAGGAGGAGCGGAGCTATATGTTGATGTCACGTAAAAAGCATCCAGTGACCCCCCTCTTTCAGAAAGTAAACGCCCCCCACTTTCTTATTATTTCCACCCTCCTCTAGAGGTGGATCTTTATTCTCTGTGATGCTGCGAGTCAGAGAGGGAGGGGCGGATCATGCGCGTGTCCAAACAGTGTTACCGCCCCGCCTCCACACACACACACACACACACACACACACACACACACACAC